TCGGAGTAACTGGAGGTGAATCAGTGAATAGTGCAGGATATTCACTGACTGAGTAGCCAATCAGAGCGCGCGAAAAACACTATCCACTGTTTTAGTATATACTAAAACGAATTATCTGGACAACAGCAATAATATTCGTTATAGCGGGGTAATTTAATAACAGTTACCAAAAATTCAATACTGCACGTAGAAAACATAATTTTGAAGACGTGTCAGCATGCTGAAGCATAAATTCGACGCTACAATAGTACAGTACAGGTATTTGTCTAATCTTCGTAGCAAGCGTTTCTGTGCGGTTCAGAAGCAAAGAACGAGGAACGAGAGTCGAAGATCGCGCGAAAAATGGCGGGGAGGGGGTCCTCGTTTCATTTCTCACGGGGTCAAAACCGAAAGTCCCTTTCCTCGGTCTTTTTTTTGCTCCGAAACCAAACGGAAACGCTTGCTACGCAGGCTAGTATTTGTCAAAACCGGAATAAAGCAAGCTGTGGTTTCTATTAGAAATCTGTCGTTTTTACTGAGTGATGCCAGCGACTGGACACAATATCCGTGACAGCGCGGTACATTTTGCGTTGCATTGGCTATCATAACGGAGCTCGTTTCCACATATCTTACTGTAATTCTGCCGGGCTTTCAGATGTTTTTCGTTATGACGGGGTCTTCGTAAAAGCGGCGTTCCACCGTAATAACTCATAACTATTATTAAAAGCACATAATGATAAAGTGCAAATTAAAATTCACTTCTCATAAAATTACTCTTGAAAGCAATGTCTTGATTGAGTTCGTAAATGTTTCCAGAGATTGTATATTGCGTAGTTGTAAAGGCAGCTCATTCCATAAATGTGACGCCGCCATCTGAAATGCGCGTTTGTCCGGAGTTTCTAGCATCTTACCCTTGAGTAGCTCTAACAAAATCCCCGAGTTGGATCTGAGATTATAAGAGGACTTGCATTTAAAGGCTAAAATCTTAAAATGTATGCGCGCCTGCATCGGTAGCCAGTGTAATTCCTGAAGTACGAGAGTGATAGAGGAAAACTTCTAAAGTAGTTCCCATTACTAGTACTTGTGAAATAACTGAAACAGCAGGGTTTTCGTTTGAGGCGGGAGACCGGTGGTTTGCCATTCTGTGTCCGGTACTTTGGTGCCAATATTTGAGTGTTATACTTCATTTTTTTTATTATTATCATAATTTTTTTTAATAAGCAACTCATAAACTTACTGACTAGGAGATAACAGAATAACCAAGAAAATTCTTCAAAACGGCCACATTACGTTTTTCCTCTTGGCTGTTTGATTGGTTTCCCTTTTCATTTAAACGAAATCGGAGTGACCACTTCGTTATCATTCATGCTTGGTCTAAAGGGAAACTGCTCCAGGCAAAACACACACTACATGTGTTGGTCGATCGGCGTGTTGGAATTTTTTTCCTCGAAGGCCAAGAGAAAACAATGTAAGGTTAAGTCTACGGATATGATGAGTCTGAATGATTCATTCTATTGACGGAGAGCAGTAGAAAGGGTTATTTTTTCTCCTCACCGAAAAAACCAAAAACAATGTCTCGCGGCCGCTCTTTACTAAATGCGGTCACTTTATATGCCGCTAGACCCCCCTTGCGCCGCTAAAAAAAATTTCACTTTCAGAAATATGTCCTCTACTTTAAAAACTTGTCGAAAAGCCTGAAACAATCAGTAAAATCTGTATCAATAAGTGGATCAGGAGTTCATGTTTAAGTTAATTCTTCAACCCAGTTGATTTTTATTGCGGATACCGATATAAATCAGGATTGATAAAGTATATAATGAAGCAATACAAAGTGCAGCATATTATATATACTATGAATTCTCAAGTGCATCTTTTGAAATAAAACCTGTTTCAGGAATTTCGCATGACGCTTGACCTTGCCAGGATTCACGGAATGAAGTTGATGATTACTCTTCAGATTTGGCTCGTTTTCTGCTACTAGTGACTGAGTCGTAGCTGAGTCGTGACTGAGTGACTCACCAATGCAACAATTAAAACATCCTAGATGAAATGAAAAAAAGCATAAAAAGCAAGTTGCCACAATCTTGAATAATTTAACGCGTAGGAAGACTATAGCTACTGGCCTGCACACATCTGTGACATCTGTTTCCTAAGCAGTGCTAAGGCTAGGCTCATACTATACCGAATAGGTTTTCCTGGCGCCACGAAAGCTGTCCAGTATTTGTCCAGTATAGTGTGAACACTTTAGAGATCGGCGCGGGGCAGCTTCCCTCCGTCACTCAGAGATCACGTCGCCACAACCGTTCTTGTGTGTGGACAGAACCGTTATGAATATCGTGGCGGCGAAAAAGCTATCCCGTATAATGTGATCATAGCCTTAAGAATCACCGTTTCCACTAAACCACTAGACTATTCACAGTCCCCTATTTTTCCGTGAGATCGTGGAGATAGAGCGCGTCTTATCGTTAGTGGCGGCCCTTGACACTCATCTAAGATGGCCACCCGTAACGCAAAGACTTCGATCTCGACTGTCTTACGGAAAAATAGAACAGTCCATTAAACCACGCGCTCCAGGAAGTAACAAGGAGGGACGTGACTATGGTGGCCAAGGACAGCCATAACTATAAAATATCCTTGTCTTAACAATTTTCGTGGAAATCTACTATTAATTTTTTTTTCTTTATTTTTTTTTCCTTTTCTGCCAGTGTTTATACCCTACCATCGAATTAAGAAGGTGCTCGCGGTTTGGAGGGCCACCCCTCTAGCCGAGCAACATTACTTTTTGTTTTACATGTATATAAACGGTCGCCAAATGTTTATAAGGTATAATGAAGGAGAAATTGGCTCGTTCAGGGTATCTCAGGTAGGCGAGTGTTCTTCTACCCGGAACACGTTTTCTCCATATAAAAGGGACCTTAGTTGTTAGGCCAACAATCGTTCACTACTACAAATATTCCTATTCTGCAAAGAAGGATTGAAGGTTGGCGAGAGTCACTAAAAAAAATGCCATGGCAAGCAAAATAGCTAGGATTAATATATTTATAAAATATTTTAACGCTACGAAAGTTATCTCGTCAACGCATCTTTGAGATTAATAGGTGGATTCCTCCTTTCGTGGTTAAAGAACGGCGAGAAGAGCCCCTGGGGACAATGTCTTACCAGACAAGTTCTAAACGGTCACCGCCGTTCTGGCTTCTGATTGGTGCCAGAAAACTTTTGTGTTTTTCTGCCCAATCAGAAGGCAGAACGGCGGGGACCTTTGGAACTGGTCTGGTAAGACATTGTCCCCAGGGGCTCTTCTCGCCGTTCTTTACTTTTCTTCGTGCTATATTTTTCCGCCCGTTTAGACCTTCCCTCGCCCGCACTATCTGCCCCTGAGTCTCCGAGGATGGCTCATTCTAGGAATGACATTTTATTCAGTAGGGCCGTGTGCACAATTAAAACAGGTTTTAATAACGTAATGGCTTGTCACGAAATAACACCTTAGTCCCTCTGTTCTCCCGCAAGTCTTAGTTACTCGCACTACCAGATCTAACAGCAACAGTAGTGTCACTGACTTTCATTTTCAAGGAAATGTAATACTGTCACTTTTCAGAGATTTTTTTTAATAGAACCACCAGAATCTGGAACACGTTAGCAAGTGATCTTCAACTTTCATGCAACCTTCAGATCAGCCAATTCAAATCCATCATGTACAAGAACTACGTGGATGCCTTAGAACGTAACTACGATCCAGAGAACCCGCCATCCTGGAAAACCATCTGTCCGTCATGTAACGTTTCACGTAACGTGTCTGTCAGTCTCCGTTGTTGTTTTTAATTGTCACATGAAGTTTTACTGTTTCTTACACATCTGCTCTGGGACCACTGTAATTGGCTCACCACTGTTGTAGCACCCCTACCTATTAAGCATTTATTTATTATTTATTGTTCAGTAATAGGCGAAGCTAATAAAATAAAATAAACATCTTGTCCGTACTAAAATCACTTTAAGTGGAACCTCGTTATAACGAACCTCTATATAACGAGTCAACGGTGGAACGAAGGAGTAAAAACGACTCGAAGTAATCGGATGAAATTCAAGCTATATGTATCCGTAGACGGCCCAGATGTATCAATCGATTGACTGGATATTCCACTGTTTATATACTCTTTTGATATTTTCGCAGAAAGCATATTAGAATTGTAGAGATTTGTTACAGAAGTGAAAATAAACACCTCTCTCTCTTTGAAACGCCCTAACTTGGACCTCCATAATTAAATGAACGCCCCGGGCGTGATTAGATCATTTACGGTAATCCATTTTCTGAACAATTGGGACCTGATGTCCCGATCATCTTGAACAAAGCCTCAAAGTTTGACACTAGACTTCTAATGTTTAACTGGGGAATATCCACGGAAAAATTACTTTGCTTGTAATGACTCTCTGATGACGGAGGAGATTGAATGGACAGGCAAAGTGACAGATACGGAAATTCTCTATAGAGGAAAGAAAATAATTTGTTAAGCATGCCATCAGAGTAAACGTGCTTGAGTCAACAAAAGATATTTTTAAAAAATGAAAAGTAATGGACTCAGAGAAAACATTTTTCCGCTGAGCGAAATACTTCTAGGTTAGTTTCAACGTCTTTCATTGGGCCTGTTTATATGGAGGTGGGGTAACCCGCCGGTCCATATAATCTCTCATTTTATTATATAAACTGCAGTGTTTTACAAGGATTTCTACCACCGAGAAATGTGGTATCTGAACACACGTAAAAATACGATATTTTTACATGTGAAGATATCAATAATTTCACTGACATCAGGTTTGTCTCTTAAATTGTACTTAAATTCGTTGGTGTATCATCGAAACATCTTCGGGTCTTCCTCGAAAGTGCTCGGCAACCTTCAGAAATCTTCGAACATATTCGGAAATTTTCGGAAATTCTCGGAAAATGTTCGGGAACGTTCGTCTGGTCTTCGGGACAATTTGAAAAATCTTCGGAAATCTTCGGAAGGTGGTCGGAAATCTTCGGAAAATCATCAAAAACGCCGTCATCAGTATGTTTATATAATAAAAAGAATATTACACGTTAGCTCGAAGATATGAATTTTATGTTCTCGTGGCAAGAGCAATATCTCACTCGTTCGCTGCGCTCACTCGTGAGATATTGTTCTTGCCACTCGAACATAAAATTCATATCTTCTCGCCACCGTGTAATATTCTCTCATTTTAATCCTCTGGGCGGGGGGAAAAAGGTTTTTCTAAGTTTTTCCTAGAGGATAAAATATCAGCACCTGACGTTTTTAGTAGCGGTTTGTTCATCCCTCGCGCAAATTTTGAGACAAGTTTAGTAATGGTCAGTTGCTATGGTTACGAGATATGACGTCATAAGTAGCAGGTGGTCAAGCCATTTTGGGTGAAAATACGTGTTTTTTTAACTTCTTTCAACAATAAAAGTATATCTTGTGGCTAAAATCATGCAAAGAGCTTATTTATGTGTTATTTTTCATGTAAAGCACAAAAAAGTACCATTTCTCGCGGTTTTAACCTGATTTCTAATTCTTGGTAAAATCCAAAATGGCGGGTAAGATGGCCGCCATTGTTGGTGTCGTCACAGGCCTCCAGCAGCGCCACCACCCATGAAATATACCTCATCTTGTTAAGAAGATGAAAGGCTTTCCACTAAAGGTAAAATCGTTTCAAAATACTGCAACATATCAAAAACTCCGGGAAGGGGTTCCATCCACCCTCCTTTGTACCACGGTGGAGGTATGAATTTGAGTGTACGTCCGAGAGTTAATTTGATCACGTTAACCAATTGCAAGAGCCCATAACCCGGAGCGAGCAACTTCCATGCACTTGGTCACGGCGTTTACACTGACCAGTTTATTTTTAGAACGGTTTTGGCGCGAATTTTGAATATCTTTTAAATTCCACAAACCAGTCAGCATAACCTACTGAGCTAAAAATGACATAGTTTGCCTTTTAATAACGTTTAGTTTTCGTTTTTAATATCTTATACTTCGAATGCGCTCATAGACATGTGGTGGAAATTACATTTTTGCGGGAAAAAGTGCCCTAAAATGTGTCTAAAAATAAACTGGTCTGCAAAAAGGCCGTGACATAGGCATAGTATAGAGTTGCTCGCTCCGGCTTATGGGCTCCTGCGTTTACATGATAGGTGGGGTGACCCGCCACATGTTACCTCAGATTCAGATTATTTGTTCTGATTATTTTTTCTCACTTTTCTTTGCGTCGGGGGGTACTGCCATATGTGGGCTATATAGGTATGTGCCGCTGTGAAGAGTATGGTTTTCAAGCAGTTTACTCTAGGATAGGGTATATAAATCAGAGCGTTTGGGTCTAGAATAGGGTATCATTTTTCAGGAAACTGATCAGTTGGTTGAAGATTTTATCTAGACTTAGGATTGTGGTTTAAGGTTTTGTTCTGGCTAGACTGTGCTAGTGACCTCAGTAGTTTCTAGAAAACAGCTACTCTAGGATGGGGGGGGAACTTGGGGAGTTTACTCTATTATAGGGTAGCAAAATTCAGCTGAACTAGCTCTGGTATAGGTTAAGGGTTCCAGGGACCCAGCGGCACATCCCCAACCAGAAATTCCTTAAGAACCCCCGGGTTTTGCGCCCACTCCGCCTGCGAGCAGAGCCACCTTTTGTCTTCTTCCTAATCGTGGAGCTGCCTGATTCGCTTCAAGCCTTTTAAGGTGGGGGCTCGGAACAAGGATGTCGGCGCTGTTTCGCAGACGGACTTAACCAGAAGTTAATCTTCGTCTGCGGCGCAGGCTACCTGTTCCAGGCGTTGCAGGCGTTCAGATAATGGAGTGCGAGCCCCGCGCTGTTTATCCTGCTCACAACTCTTCGCGCGTCCCCACGATCCGAAAGCCTCAGGTAGCAATACGTTTAGCCTGCTCCAGCCGTTCAGATAGTAGAACGCAGGCGAAAAATTGACGATGGAAATAAAAAACAAGGGGAGACTAGGAACAGGCTACAATTCGTTACTTAGCCTGCGAGCAAATTTTAGCTCTCCGGGGCGCTCTAGCGGGGGGCGGGAACACGATAGAGAGATTGCAACTACGTCTCTGGAATTTGAATTCCAACTCCAATTTCCCTGGGCTCCCCGTCGACTGAGCTGTCAGATTTCCGACAATCAGGGCGAAGCGGAAACGAGCGCAAATGTAAACAAACATTGAAAAGCACGTGCCAAGGGTAATGAAATCATTACTAATGTCATCTCCGCCAATCAGCACTGTGTTTCGCATCGACTTTTTTGATGCAGATATTTAAATTCCAGAGACGTAGTTGCAAGCTCTCCTTCCTTTTCCCGCCCCACCGCCAGAGCGCCCCGGAGAGCTTGCTCTCAGGCTATACGTTACTCTGAGAATTCAACATGTACTCTGGAAAAGGATCAATGTTTTCTTACCTTCCTCAAATAAAACTCTGGTTTGTATCCTGCACCTTGGAAAATGACTTTGACTTTACATGGGGATTATTACTGGGAATGGCTTCCATCAGAATAGCTTGGCACTTCAACTTGGAATTCTGTGTCTTTCAGAAACAAGGAAATTGCAGTATTTATCAGTCGCTCATATTATGAGAAATAGGAAATGTACGTCTCCTCTATGATAATTAGACTGTTTTGTAGACACCACATGAGAGGCAACAATACGGTAGCTTTACGTGACATATTCAATGCTTGTGGAGATAGGGTTGACTAGTCCCTAACAGCGTTTTTCCCAGGCCTTCACGGCCGTGCATTTCGGTATCCGAGATCGACGCGGGACAACGTTACCCTAAACGAATAGGCCGCGCGAAATAAAAAGGTGTGTACATGGACTAGATAAGTGTCGAGCAAGTGCGAAGGCAGAACAAATTAAACACTATTTTACTCACGTGCAATCGGTAAATAATGATAGCCATGACCAGCAATATCACAAATGCAACAATGGCAATGACTTGCCATGTTTCCAGTCGATGACTTGATAGTTTCTTCCGTTTACGTGGCAACTGCTCTGCCTCCACATGAGTTTGTACGACGTAAATGTTATAAAGAGTAAGATTTACTCTTCCCTCGGAGCTGGCGTTCCTCAACGTACTCTTAAAGGTTTCCACTGTCGAGTTAGAAAATGCTTTGAAGCAGACTTCAATACTCGCGCCCTGGTTGTTTGACGGTGACTGATCCCTTAACATAAGCTGATGGCTGTCTGAGAATAAAAAAAATTGAAATTATCAGTGCCGCGTTACTGCCGAAAACTAACGATGGCCGAAGTTGTTTTGTTTTTACGTGTTTGGTTGTTCATTTTTTGCTGAAAAATTTTGTAACTTGATAAAAAGCTTCAGTATAAAAACTGTGAAAAGACAATGATTCAATGAATTCTAGTCTAAATGAGAGAAACCTTTGCTGATGACACTTTTCAACATTTTTACTTAATATGTTAGGAGAGCTGAAAAAAGTTAACCTTGAAGTTTTTTTTACCTGTACCCTTAAATCGTTAAGTACAGAACTCAAGAAGAAATATTATCCCACTATTCTTCGAACTGAGAAATCGTTTTCGATGCTTAATCGAGCAATATGGTCCTAGCTCAGAAAATGATAATCTATCTTAATTGCACAGTCATATTCTGTTTTCGAAACTGGCCATTGAATGGCTTCTTTTCCTGTTTATAGCTTAAAATTGGTGTTTAGTTTTACTCAACCGAGGACAAATAACATTTCAGATTTCTTACCTTCTAATATCACGAAGTATAAGAGTATAACCCAGAGAAGTCTGGCCATATTTTCGCGAAGTCAGCGAACGTCCCAAAAAGACGGAATGCATAGAAAATTAACTTGACCAGGACTAAGTCGCAATAAGAATGTCTCGTTCCAACCTTATTGGCTACCTCGTGCGGGAGGGTGTATCATATTAAGCCTTGTTCGTGTGTAATCAATTGCAATACCAATATTGCGAGCTAAAATTTCCCTGATTGTTTTTGTTCGGTAAATGGAAATTTCTCGACCCTAGCAAAGAATTGTTACTGCCGAAATGACCACTTTAGGCTAACTGAGAAAACAACTACAGCTTGTGTTAGCTGAAAAGACGTGAAATGTTAATCTAAGAAAGGTGAAAGCTCATGTTTGACACGTTTGCTCCTTAATGACTGTCAAGTCTTGTTCATCATTTGAAAGCAAAACCTAATTTGGCTAACTTTTTCTTCTGTGATGTTATTAACTGAACTCCTAGTGTTTAAGAATTGATAGCTTTCGTAGAGTTAAGTGGAGTAAAATTCTACTTGCATTCATGTTTTTAGCAACATCTGCGAACATAAGAAGTTATAAGTGAGTTATGTGTCCACAACTTCAATTCCTCGGATGCTTCGAAAACTTGAAGTGACAGTTCCTTGAGCATTCTCTTTTAAGAACGAAAATTAAATTCGTAGTCCTGAAGTTAGTAACAGATGTTTTATAAAAAAAAGTTTATCAACCAAGACTAAGAAAATGATCTTAATTCAATTTAAATTCTGCGTCTGCCCTGGTTTTATATCTAAAATCGCGGGCAAACTTATTCTTCTGCCTGTTCGAAGTTTTCAAACATTTCGTTTCCTAATTTTAATTCTTCCTGCTTTTACTTTAGTAAACTGCAGTATGACGTGAACTGTCATTGTTATCGACCAGAAAGCTAATTCTTAAAAATACATTTGCATACGAATGGGTGCTTCATGTTGTTTTGTTTTACAGCCGTCACCTGTTTAAGCAGTGCATACAGTGGGCGAACGTCAAATATCTACTGCTCCAGAATTTTCTGAACGCAAATGCAAACAGCTACAATACAACAAAAACAGTTTCGATGTAGCTATTTAAAAAAGCCAATAGTTGAAAAAAAAAAAACGGTTCTTTGGTGGAGTTAAGTTTTATGTTACTGTCAGTAATGACTCTTCTCTCTTAGATCTGTGGATGTTTCTTAGTAGATTCAAATTGCTGAAGTAGTGTGATATATTTCTAATAAATTTTCAGCATTTATATCATGATTTTATTTTATAAGATTCGCCCGAATAGCCCACTTTAATTCGATGCATTAAAATTCTAACATGACTTCGAGGCTTTAGGGTCTAAAGCCTCTAAGTCATGTTAGAAAAGTTAGAATTTTAATATATCGAACTTGGGCTATTTTTTACTGGGTCACCATCACGGCATGACGCCAATTACGTCGGGCCCGGTGGGGGGCTCATCCCCCACTCTTAACGGACAGTGTCAGGTGGTGTGTGGGTTCTTTAACGTCCCACAGAACTCATTATATGTGCAAGGGCCACGGTTCATCGTCCTTATCTGAGAAGACAAGAAAGTCTAACCGTTTTCAGATGTCTTAACAAAGACAGCATTTTATCCTCAGTTATTTTAAGACCATGAGGGTTGGTCCGGCCGGGGTTTTAGCTAACCGGGCGCCGGGTGGCGGTGACATGATAAACCTAAGAGAGTGAAATTGACTCAGCTTTACCATTCTGTTTGCCCCCAAGTTTTGGAAAACTTATTGTTTTCAAAAACTCCCGGGTATATGCAGTCCTTCCAGAAGTTGTAAAATTCGGAGAGCGAACAGAATGTTTTATGGGGGATTTGAAACTAGACAATTATATAAAAGTTTATGTTATTATATTCTCTTGTTTTTCAAAAAGTTTCAAAATTAATTTGGATTTGAGTTTTTTTTAAGTACAATGCTAACTAAAGTGAGTTGTTTGTTTAGTCTCATTTGATCATTCGCAATTTTTTTTATTCAAAATCGACTTTAAGCCAAAGTGTTAGTTTTCCCTTCTTTTAACTCAGCTTCTGTAGGTGCGTTGACAAAGCTGATATTTGATTATGTTCCCTCTGTTGGCCACCTGACAGGAAAATAGATGATACTGTGTGTCCGAGCCATCCAAGACATCCAGGAACTAGTAAAATTATGTTACAAACAAGAATCAAATGTCGATAATTTTTTTTGTTTGTTTTCAACGATGAGAGGACAATAGTCTATTCAGGACTTTCAAAAAACCCTAGCCTTTTAGGCGACACTAACAGTAATCCTCTTTTGTGAAAATGAGTTTGATTTGAATGAGGAAAAAAATTCATTTTGGCATCAAAGGCTTCGCACTTACCCTCGCTTTAAAACAGAGGCTTGAGGCAAGTCTAGAGTGGCCTATTTCTCAGCAGCATTTTTGGGAGAGAGCTTGGTACAATGACACATACTATTGCCAACACGCCAATCAAAACTCTTAAATTGACAACCCTGTATTAAGGAAACACACGTCCAAGCGTCAGTATGTATGAGTACATCCTAAATTGTTCGTGCCATGTGTTTTTTTAGCGTGGGTCCCGTGGGAGTCTGCTTAATACAAGTTTGTACTTTCGTTACATCGCCATTATAGAACTCAAACTCGTTTCCAGGGTCCCCTCCTACTAAGCTCTCGCGGGGACTGAGTTGGGGAGAGCCCTGGGAACGAATTTGACTCAAACTAGCTTGTATTCGAGGCTCATCTGGGGAAATCGTTTCTCACGCAAATCTTTTTAAATATATTCTTCCGCACTTTTCTCTACTTTCAAGCTAATTCTTGTCCGCTATCGAGAATATGAATATGGCCTATCAATCAGTACTTTACACATCAGCAAATGAAAGCGATTTAATGTTTTCTTTGAAACAGCAACTGTGAAACTTCGCCGACTCTTTAGAAAAAATCATGTTTAGTTTGTTCCTCCGTCACCTACCCAGTTTGACTGCTTGCATTATTTATACTCAAGTTTTCTAAATTTCAATTCATTGATTCGTAGTCCACACCCACTAGGAGACTCGTTGGTAACATTCACTCGGTGTATCATTAAATGCTTGTAGCACAATAGCTCCTTGTACTATTATGACTGCCGAGTTATACGCTTTCTACAGGAGACAAATTCCTTATGGCAAGGCTGCTTCGAATACATCATTTTCACTGGCGCTTATTTCTTCTGTCTGGAGGTGCGTAAAAATGTAAATGTTTTGCAAGCACGACTGTCTTCATAGTAATTTCAGAATATTCCTTGAAGCGCGCTAATAGTACTTTGGTATTGCAATTACACACAGGAAATCATCACCTACAGTGTATTCTTATCACTAGAAGCTGTAAAAAAGTAGCGTTTAGAAGGGAGGTTTCAGTAAAACGCTATAATGACAAACTTCTGCGTAATTCCCTTGTCACTAAGATCCATCAGCCTTTGCTCTTTGCCCTTAATTTCAAGTGTTCCACGATTCTAGAGTTGTACCTATTTGCTTCGTGGTCAACGGAGGAAAATTTGTAACCCGCCGTCGATAGAAAGCATCAACTTTTGTGATGTACGAATGGCTCAGCCCAGTTAACATTTTCAAACTTAGTTTCAGCTTTAAGTTTTTAAGGCGACTTAATTAAAGACTCTTGATCAAGTTTTGAGAAAACAAATTTTAATTATTCCCATTCAGGAAATATTCCATCAACTCTTTCAACAAGGTACCCTTGAAATTAGTCTAATTAGTTAAAACTGTGTTAAGGCATAATTTTTAGTCACTAACATTGGGACGGATGGAAGATCTTCAAACAGAGCTTTTCTTTTGCGCGGAAGTCTCTTCTAATCAGCCTAATGAAGAGAATGGCAAAGAAATAACTTTGCCTTTCCTGTATGTTTTCATGTGATTTTTGATCATCGATTTAGTGTTTACAAATGCTTTTATGGTACGTTTTCTGAAGAGGAAATCTGTTTGATTAATGCAAATATCTTTTAAGGTTTTGTAAGTCATCACTGTTCGCCTAGGTCGAAACTGGCGGTTTAAACATTACGTTTGAGTAAACAAAAGAGGCAAAGAAAATAGTTCCGACAGCAAACTAAGGATTTAACGTTTGTTAGTAGTTTATTCAGTATACTGAATTTTTCACTATTGACTAACTTATTGTCTCAAGAGCTAAATTTATAAGGACTGCTTTCAAGTTCAATTTCAGAAAAAAAATGTTTCCCGAGAACGGCAAACAGATGCACAAAAATAATAAACTCGCGCTTTTTTGAACCCGTTCTCTTGAACTGTTCTCACTGTCATCGCTGACATGTTCACTTCTTCACAATCTTTCAGTGTTACAAAATGTCCACTGAGACATCAAGTATCTTTCCACATTTTGTGCGAAACCGTGTAGAGACAAATTTCGAAGTTAGAATTCTAGGCCCAATTATGAAAACAAGCACAGGTCGAGGTAATTGAGTATTTTGACTCATGAGGACTTCCCGTGGAGAATTCAGTAATGTTTCATGAAGAAGCCTGATGAAGAAGGGCGATTTTAAAATTTAAACCATAGAATATACACAAGAATGCTATGTATTATGTTCTATGCTAGAAGTTTTTTCAGTGCTGAGAAAACCTCATGATTATCGTCTTTCCTTGAAACCTAGGTCAAAACGTTATCACTCTCTGTTAACATCTTTAAGATGAGTTTTCGTTTTCAACATGCAGAATAGAGGTGACTGGTTACCAAAGTCGGCAAACTTCAAAGGATGATCTCCTATGGTTTTCCTTGGACCGTGTACACTAACTATGTTTCCAAGAAACGTGTTGACCCTGATCTAAACAATTTTAAAACTAGGCTTCCCTGTTGTGGAACAAACAGGTTTTGTCCCTAAAATAACAGTTACACACTCGATTAGCTCTCTCTCTAAGATAAGAGTTGTTTTCTATCCAGGTGTTAACTCAGTTTTAGCCGCAAAAAGGGGAACTAAACCCAAAGGATTTCTATCACCATTGTAATCTCCTTACCAGTGAAGCTGACAGC